TCGCAAAGTCGGTTACCAAGGGTACGTTTGGCGTGGTGACGTCAATACAGTGTGACGTCATGCAAAAAGTGTACTTTATAGCCTGATAAAGTACTGTCGGCGCCTTTGATCTTTAACGAAGAGTCTTAGAATATTCTTTAGTCAGAAATATTTGCTTCTTTTGAAACTTGTGTTTGCTGTTATTAAGATTTTAAAGCGTTTCCACGTGTTTTGTCTTAATGCAAAATAATTAAAGTAAAGTACTAATAAGAACTATATTCAGTTGCGCATATTCAGAAATGTCACAAGAATGCAAATGGGTCATTCTCTTCCCAGAGAGGTTACTTGTCATATCTTCCTACGAACCTCTGTTCTAATACGGCCCTTTCATGGTGCGAGTGTTCTGAATTCGTGATTGGTTGCAATCAGATTTAGTTGTGCAATCAGCGACGTTGTTTCAAAAGTGATCATTCGCAAGGACTCGGTAATTTCCGTATGCTTCGGAAAAACTGGAACCTCTTCCCCTGCGCGATACGCAAACGTTACTTCTAGACAGAACTCAGTCAAGTAATGGCGGATCAATGGCGTCACCATCGCCCTCGTTGACAACTGACAAGCTTGCCATTAAATGTCTTGTGTGTCACATCAACACAAGTCCCCGGCAGAGCAGAGGGATATTTGAGGTCCCATTGTATCGATATAACACTAGGGCTCTCACGAGTCCAAAATTTGGGACTCGAGTACTCGAGGTGTCAGACCCGACTCGGACCCGAGTACCCGACAAGTTGGATGCTTATCTGAAACCAACTTTCAAGCATACACGTAGCTGTTCCAACTTCCAATCTACGAATAATGCAACATGTATATGTGAATACAAACGTTCCTGAATAAAGCAATTGGTATTCAATGTCAATGGAAGTATCTATTACCTTTTATTTGCAAACAGAATGTGAAGGCAACGTAAGTGTCACTGTGACCCAGTTCTACGCGATCAATTATGTGATTAATATTCATGAGCTGGGCCGGTGATACCTTATTACGCCTGTAAATGCTGTAATATGATTGGATGTGTCCGGGAAAAGAAACCAATCAATCTACTTCTCTTTTCTTTTGGTTTTAAGTTTGACTGCGCTTTCAAGATTATCTAATATTAATATGTCGTTGCAGTTATGACATATTAGCAACTTTTAAACATTCACCTGGACGATAAGTCACATAATCAATTAACCTTAATCACGGTTAAAATGTGGCAAAACACGTTCCAAAGCTGGAAGATACATAGATAAAGCGTTCATTGATTGGTGCTGCATTAGATACTAGTATCTTGTAAAGATGGATCGACTATGGAACTTAAAGAATATGTAAAACAGGATTGATGTTTATTTGAGACTTCTTATAATGAAAACGGTTTGGTTTCAAACTAAAGACTAACCATTTATTGAGTAACACTACGCTGTATTTCTTCTTCCGAAACTCTGCTGAACGGAGATCACGTCAATGGTATTCATTGTGATTAAAATTTTCACTATTAAGGATATAGGTCTCCAAGTGTGAATGTTATTTTGAATGCGTATGTATGTGTAGATTGTTGAATATGTAACACTGAAATACGCTGGATAAGAACGACTGAATATCTATGTAGAAAACAAGTTGTTCAAACATAGGTATAGTGGGCAGGGACAGTGATACAGCCGTGAGTGGTTACGCTTGTCCACGCGTCCGTAGTTAGGGCAACGGCAGGTACTGTTTTGGGTACTGATATTTTGTTCTCCTTGCAAACTTCATACGACATTATGAGGTAGTTGTGAATTGCGGCAGTACATGGGACCTGGTAATTTGGGTTCAATGGTTCACAGAAAGCCCTGAAACCCTCCCCTTTAACAAGACTTAATGGTCGCATATCCTTAACGCGCATAAGCATTGCTTTTTGCGTAATACCTTCATACCATTTCCTGTCAACAGGCTTGCGACTTTTGCTATCAAACTTACCAAACTGCCCCAGTGTTGCTTGTTGAGCTGGTTTTCTGTCTACAGTGCTTATTGTGGGTGCTTACAGGACAAATGCTTGCGTAAATAAGGGAAACGCCACAAAGACGGCATTTCGTATTTTGGCCACTAAATCAAGATACAAATGCGTCCAGACATTGGATTTTTTCTCACGATCATCCATCTTTATTGCATGAGATGTTTAGAGGTATCTCCCCTGCGAGTCCTCGAGTCCATTCAATTGGACTCGAGTCCTGCTTTACCCGACTCGGCCCCGAGTACCCGAGTACTCGTGAGAGCCCTATATAACACGTGCTCTGATTGGATAGAAAGAATGGAGGTAATTCGTGTTGCGATTTTTTGCCGCTAGGGGATTTTACGAGAACCGGGAAATATGGCCGTTTTAGAACAGAGGTTCGTAGGAAGATATGATAAGTAACCTCTGTGGGAAGAGAATGGCAAAGGGTAGACCTCAATACAATTCTTCCGCATCCTCTTTATGAAACCGGTTTCGGTTTGAAATCATTAAAATAACTCAAATACGCTATTTTGTCAATTTTATGCAGGTAAGACGTGGGTAATAATTATAACACACGCTCGGTCTCATTACATACGAGTTATACGAAATTCCTGACCTTCCTAGGAAGGACACTCGTTTCGTTAAATTCGAATGCAATGTGACTTCGTGTAGTAATCTCTGTTTATGACACACGGCAACCCGGCTAACAATTTCACGTTGTCATAGCGTTATCACAACTTAAATTACATTGTTGAAACGTTGTGATATTTCATTTTCACATCGTCACAATGTTATCGGAGCGCTGTAAATACGTTGTGCCAACGTTGTATTTTACATTGTCGTGACGTTGCATTTTACGTTGTGAGAACGTTATGATAGTACAGTTTACGTTGCATCAACGTTTCATAAACGATGGGACATAACGTTGCGTTATTGTAGATACATGACGTAATGTGAAAGAACGTTATAAAATAGCGTAATACATGTACTTCTGTTGGGTACCAAAGTACAAGCTTCCGACAACGTTGACAAAACGGTGTGTGTTAGCTGGAAAAGTGACATAGTGTCACAGGCTGCGAGTCAGTGAACAACGAAGTGGTGAGGTTTAAGTGTAGAGATTAGCTTCATATGTATAATGGCAGTTTACAGATGAAGGCCCAGTCACATAGTAATTACCATCTGGCGTTACATTGATTTATTCAAGAACACTTTCAACTGGATAAAGGCTGTTATAGTATGGGCAGTTTAAGTATGGAGATTAGGTTCTTATAGATACTGGCTATTAATAGATGGAGATATATGCATGGCCCAGTCACATAGTAATAACCATCTGGCGTTACATGGATTTATTCAAGAAGATTGGCAGACAGTCTGTTACAGCTTACGTAAATACGTATCCATTAAAAGTATATGGTACTGGATCATATTTGATAAAGAGAAACGTAATAGGACAACTGTATAGGTACTAGTAAATATTAAGCAAGCAGTAAACCAGTCTCAGTGTATCCTTGCTTTAGTAAAGTGGTGATGGTGCATCACATCAGACAGATCTCATTCTCAGTGTAACAGGGGTGGTGGGGTAGCCTAGTGTCAGAGCGTTTGCGCTCGAAAGTCCGGGTTCGATAATGTGCAGTTCTGATGTTCCCGTGAAGATCCGGATAACAAGTGGTCTTCAGTAACCCATGCTTGTCGTAAGAGGCGACTAACGGGATCGGGTGGTAAGGCTCGCTGACTTGGTTGACACATGTCATCGCATCCCAATTGCGTAGAACTATGCTCATGCTGTTGATCACTGGATTGTCTGGTCCAGACTCAATTATTTACAGACCACCGCCATATAGCTGGAATACTGCTGAGTGCAGCGTGAAACTCACTGACTCTAGTGTCCTCCGCCGTCATATTGCTGTAATATTGCTGAAAGCGGCGTATAACTAACTGACTCACTGATTCACTGACTCACTGACTCACCCACTCACTCACGATAACAATATGTCGGACAGGATGGCACAGAATGATATTGACGACATTACCAAATCACTGCTTATTATCTGTGGTCACAAATACTTTAATATGGATAAAATAACCACGATTATACTCAGAAAATACAGAAAGCAAATACAAGGAATACAAGGAACAATGGAAGGGAACAACTGTTCGTATAACATACAAAGGGTATATATATTTTACGTCTCCCGCTATTGTCACTAACTGCTTAACGTCATACGCATGATGACGACATAGCAATTACCGTTATGTGTCGCCTATGACGACACTCAGCTTTCATTGTACACCTGAAGAGCCGTTGAACGGCGAAAGATCTTGTGCAGATATAAAGGAGATTTGACAAGAAGAAATATCTGGACTCATATTTTGCGTGTATGCATACACTCATAGATAACATGTAAACTAAAAAGAGGTGGTGGGGCAGCCTAATGGTTAAAGCGTTTGCTCGTCACGCCGAAGACCCGGGTTCGAATCCCCACATGGGTACAATGTGTGAAGCCCATTTCTGGTGTCCCCTGCCGTGATGTTGCTGGAATATTGCTAAAAGCGGCGTAAAACCAAACTCAGTCAGTCAGTAAACTAAAAACTAATTGTGTATACGTGTGTGTATACGTGTGCGTGTATACGCGTGTGTGTATACGTGTGTGTACGTGTGTATGTGTATATTTACGTGTGTGTGTATGCGTATGTGTGTATACGTGTGTGTATATATATACGTGTGTGTGTATACGCGTGTGTGTATACGTATGTGTGTATACGCGTGTGTGTGTATACGTGCAAGTGTGTTCAGTAAATAGCAGTCAATTCATAACACATGCTGACATAATCTCAAAACGATAGGAGATCAGAGAAAGATATCAATAGAAAATGTACATTTATAATGGCCAGCGGGGTAATATCGTGGTTCAATATTGTATGGCTTCGACCTGAAGAAGAAATATGTCGTACACTTTAAAATCGTCACAAGATCAGAATCTGATTATTTACTTGCGGCAGTAAACACAAGACCACATGACACGCCACGTGACCACGCTCCACCCGAGCCTGCACGTGCAGATACCAGCATGATAAAAACGGGCCGACAAATAGAAGGGTGAGTTTGCTCAATCCATTTGCGAAAATATTGACACTTGTAGTAAGTAATTCCGTGTTACGTTGTCATCTAATATTGAAGATGCCATACAGACGCTGAATAATTTTGTCAGGAAAGTAGTAAGCTATCTGAATGTAAGCGCACATCACCACACGAGGCTGTACACAACAAACACGCATGCAACAGAAGTGATTCGATTGGGAATGTCAACAAGCCAGACGATACAAATATTATTCATTAAAGACATTTTGGAAAACAAACAACACTACACATTGCAGACAATATCTCAGGGCTAAGACAGAATTCCGTCACAAGTTTTTGAAGAAACATTAATAAATGACATTGGTGAAGCATAAAGAAGCACATGCTGTCGCTAATTCTGGAAATCCGTAAATAATCGAGTCGGACCAGACAATCCAGTGATCAACAGCATGAGCATCGATCTACGCAACTGGGATAAGATGACATCTGTCAACCAAGTCAGCGAGCCTGGCCACCCGATCCCGTTAGTCACCTCTTATAACAAGCATATATGGGTTACTGAAGACCAACTTCTAACCTGGATCTTCACGGGTAGCATGTTCGATGGATAAACCGGTGTCGGAGAGTTTACTTAGGCGGATCCAGTGGGGGGTGCAGAGGTGAACACACACACACACACACACACACACACACACACACACACACACACACACACACACACACAGACACACACACACACAAGACACACACACACACAAAAGACACACACACAAAGACACACACAAAGACACACACACACAAAGACACAAAAGACACACACACACAAAGACAGACACAGACACACACACACACACAAAAAGACACACACACAAAAGACACACACACAAAGACACACAAACAGAGACACAGACACAGACACAGACACAGACACAGACACAGACACACACACACACACTTGTCCTGAACGTGAATTAAATGACCATTGGAACTCGGGGAAAATTAAGTGTGCACCCCACCCATCCCTTTTCTCAATAGTGTGCACCCCCCATTAACAATGAACAATTATGTTATAGTAGCATCGCACAATCGAATCTCCTTTTCTCCATTAATTATGGAAAGGGCTGGTGATTTATATATTTTATGATTGTCATATGTGTTGTGTTTGTTTGTCGTTTAACGTCGCACTCAGCAATATTCCATCTGTAAATAATCGAGCCTGGACAAAACAATCCAGTGGTCAACAGCATGAGCATCGATCTACGCAATTTGGATACAAACCAAAACATGAGTCTCATTGACCAATTCAGACAATGACCTACTTGTGAGCCGATCCGAATTTTCTCGTGTGAAAGTGACCCGTGAAGATCCGGGTTAGAATATCGATTATTTACAGACCGCCGCCATACAGCTGGAGTGCGGCGTAAAACTAAACTCACTCCCTCACTCGTGTGAAAGTGAAAAGAGACACAACAAACAACTATGGTTACACTGAATTCCTATTCCTTGTTTCATAAAGAAAATGGTATTTGCAAATTAATTTTCATTTTAAAGTTTTAAAAAATCGTATTTCTATATTTTATGTTGAGGTTTAGGCAGCATGTCGTCAACTAAGACTACTCCTGTTTGAAGAGGTCGTACAATGATTCACAATTCATCTGGCTCATTGGTTACACCTGTTATGTGTTCCTTGCGCATATAAAATGTATTTTTGTAACGTATAATGTGGTTGATATAATAACAAGTCCGTACCAGACCGACCAACTTTTCTTGAGGCCGAGCCTCGTTTTAAGATTTCCACGATTTCCAGATTTCCGTTTGTCAGAGCACTCTGTACAACAGAGCACGCTGCACGACGTGTTTGCAAGGATTAGAAGGCGCGTAGTGTTGCAATATACAAGTGATTCAATGTATCAAATAATACTGATCAATATACTAGGCACATAAAGAAACTGTGCATACAAAAATTTAAAATCTAAATTTATCAAACCTGTGTAGACATAAGGATTTAAACTCAGAGATTAGTGACAAGTATCCAACATGCATGCACGTGCCACGTTCCGTGATGTCAGTGGGTTCGTCCTACGTTGTTGCACGTGCATTCCGGGAAAGAGAAACAGAGCAAATGAATGCCACACAATACTGTCACTTTGGAAAGCTCAACCCCTGCCCTTGCGATCGTTCAAAAATTAAACGGCTATTGAAACGCATAGCATGCCAAGGCTCACGTCTGCACAACGTCATGAGGCCATTGGGATGGTCCGTGGGGGAATGTCTCAACGACAAGTGGCTGCACATTTCCACTGCCACCGGAACACCATTTCTGCACTGGTGAGACGCTCCCAGAACACAAATGACGTCATCGATCGGCCACGTTCTGGACGTCCACGTGTAACAACGCCAAGACAGGACAGATGGATCAGGGTGACCTATCTTCGCCACAGGTTTCAGACTGCAGTGATGACTGCCCGAACTGCCGTATCCACCCCAACACAGTTCGACAACGTTTACGTCATCACGGGATCAGACCACGACGTCCCGCCAAACGGCCTATCCTGACACAACGTCATCGACAAGCTCGCCGAATGTGGTGCCGAAATCATGTCCGCAGACCCTTGTTTTGGTGGAGAAATGTTGTTTTTACAGATGAGTCCAGGTTTAACATTTCCTATAGTGATGGACGTCAACGTGCCTATAGACGCGTGGGAGAACGTTATGCACAGGCCTGTGTCTTGGAGAGGAATCGCTTTGGTGGTGATTCCGTGATGATTTGGGGTGGAATAACAGCACGCCAAAGAACTCCTTTGGTGATTGTTCAGGGCAACTTAACTGGTATGGGCTACAGTGATCAGATTCTTCGACCTGTGGCAATTCCCTTTCTGCAACGTCATGGCCCTGGGTTAACATTCCAACAGGACAATGCCCGCCCTCATACGGCAAGGGTTGCTATGGATTTCTTGCAACACCACAACGTTGACTTACTGCATTGGCCTGCAAATTCACCGGATCTCTCCCTGATAGAGCATGTTTGGGACGAGATGGATCGACGTCTACGCCGTCTTCCTCATCCGCCAGAAAACGTCCTTGACCTTGCAACAGAACTTGAGAGAATCTGGCGTGACATCCCACAAGCCTTCCTTGCACGTTTGATAGGCTCTATGCGTCGTCGATGCACTGCTGTTCTCAATGCCGATGGTGGACATACCCGTCATCGAGCTTGTGACATGGTCGTTTGACCCCTGTCCCGCTTGTGGACTCGTGACGTCATTGTGATTGACTTTTCATGATCCCTCCATTAAAGTTTATATGTACCTTTGACATTGGTATCGTACTTATCAACTGGGATAATATTTTGACACTGCACAGTTTCATTATGTGGCTAGTATATTTACGTATCCAGTTCAATGAGTTGATCTAAAAATGCTGGACTGGTTATTGTACTAAGTTACGCAATAGAACGGCACCCAGTCAGCAGGAAATGAGACTGCTGTGTAATCGATGTTTTGACTTGGATGGCATGTGTCAACCACGTCAGCGAGCCTGAGCACCGGGTCCCGTTAGTTCAACTGAGATAGCCAAAGGGGGTAAGAGTATTGTAAAATTACTGTCCTCCTGAGAGGATACTTAAATCCCATCACCATCAAAGGGAATGTAAACGTACCACTTTTTTAAACGCAGTCTTTTCGTGATTTTAAATTATAGCTAAATTTTCCTACAAACGCCAGGAATGGTGTAAATCCAGCTAGGGTCCATGCAGGTAGCAAAAGTACTGTTAGTCCCCATGGTCCCAAGTATGGTGATATACCTTCAGTTGTTGGTGACCTACAGCCTGTTTTATATTGTATCGTCTTCAAAAGTTAAACTGTTTTAGATTGAATTACTAGTTTTGAATTTATGTCTGTGATAGTCTAATTATTTTGTCTGTCCTTCGTTGAATAGGTGTTTATAATTTACTTTTAATTATTATATATCTATAACTTGATACGATTTAGCTGAAATATTGCCGATGTGACTTAAAATCTTAATTCACTCACTCACTCACGATCCCGTTAGTCGCCTCTTACGACAAGCATGGTTTACTGAAGACCAAATCTAACCCGGGTCTTTACAGGGATTCGTATTTGTTGTGTAACTTCCAAATTAACATCTACGAAAACATGCATTTCCCTTACCATATTTTTGTGGGATATGGAACGGTCGCTGTCAGTCAAGAGTACCTTGTAAGTGAAATAATCCTTTAGATGGATCAGTATCCTATCTCGCCGCATTTGACTGGAGTTGTACTCAGTATATTTAGTAAGTGAGTTTTTTGTTTCATATGTCAGAAGGGGCGCACAGTGCCGTGGTCAGAGGGCAGCCTAGAGCTCCAACCGTTGAAGGGAGGAATTGTGGACGGTGAACAGTTTTGATGAGGAGACTTTTCCGACTGATAACTGTTGCTGTATTTGGAGTTTCGATTGAAGTATACAGGTACTGTGCCCTTGAGAACATTGGTACATGTTTGGTAATGCCTGGGTCGTGTCAACGACGGTGAGGTAACCTAGTGGTTAAAGCGTTCGCTCGTCACGCGGAAGACCCGGGTTCGATTCCTAATGTTGGTACAGCGTGGGAAGCATATTTCTAGTGTCCCCTGCCGTAATATTCCTGGCATATTGGTAAAACGGTTGTAAAACCATACTAGTTCACACAAACATATATAATGTATTCTAACTTGCAGTGGTCGGAAATTCATATCTGATGGGATAAACATACTACTGCCATTCGTGATCAGTCATGGGTCTTCTCAAGATCTGGACTGTCAGCATATTGAACAAGGAATCCTTACTCACTCGAAGCATAAAGCACACAACAGTGCCAACTTGATTCTACCTTTAGTTGAGTCGAGATATCAACGCAAGAGTATAGGGTTCGGTTTTAACAAGAGGACTGTCAGTGTGTTGTTTCAGACAGTTAATAACCCCTCGAAAACATTTACGGTTCTGGAACCTCGTGCCCCCGGGACATGCTTAAAGGGGAGCGGCGAGAGAGTCACAGTCAGGGAGAGTGCCAAACAGAAGAAGTGCATCTTGGCTACAAGTGCAGGATTCTTTAATACTACCACTGGAGAATGCAACGGTAAGATATACACTCATGATCTAAGTGTTTTGTGTGCTGCGTTTCTTATATAAAACCAGCTGATTTTAGAAGTTCACAGGAAGCAGTTTTTATATTTTGGGTCATAGATTTCCCAGAAGTTGATGTTGGAAAAATGGTATCATTTTCCTCATTGAGTTACTTGTGTTTCTTAAACGTGCTTGAAGTGAAAATGACGAATTTCATATTCCACCACTGGAACACATTTGAATTAATCAGACCGGGAGACCCGTGAAGATCCGGGTTAGAACTGGTCTTCAGTAACTCATGCTTGTCGTAAGAGGTGACTAACAGGGTGGTCAGGTTCGCTGCCTTGGCTGACACATGTCACCGTATCCCAATTGCGTAAATGGATGCTCATGCTATTGATCACTGGATTGTCCAGTCCAGACTGGATTATTTACAGACCGCCGCCTTACAGCTGGAATATTGCTAAGTGCGGCGTTAAACAACAAGCAACAAAAACATATCTCATATAAAACCCGTGAACATTCTGGGTTTGAATTGGTCTTCAACAGCCCTTATTTTAAGAGGCGACTATGCTCGTACGAGACGATTAACAGAATCGGGTGGTCAGGCTCGTTCACTTGGTTAATGCACTTGATGTAATCATATTTCATTCAATGAATCTTGACCAGTAAACAATCCAAGAGACCTTAATTTGATACCTGTAAATGAAGAATGTCTGGATGGTCTGATTTCAAGGTGTCTAATTTGTAAGCATTATTATTCAATGTAATGTGAAGATCAACTTATTTTAAATCATTATTAATGGGAGAGATAGAGAAACAATTTACTTTATTTTCAAGTATGTATCCACAAGAAAATACAGCAAATTCGATTGGCATTTAGATAAATACATTCACTGCAATCTGACGAAATCAACTTATTAATGTAAATCATTATCAAAATTGGTATTTTTACTCTGTTTCAATAATCTTTAAATTCAGCAAAAGCTTCTGTATTAATGACATCATCACGCACACGATTCAGGCGCTTATTAGTATCTGATAAAGCGATTTAGTCCAATGACGTGTCCTACGTATCACAGCCTGTCAAATTCTGTTATATAATAGTCATTAAGTAAAGCAACAATCCAGTTTCATTGGGTCATGTGCTTTTCCCCCGTGTCAACCTCAACCAGCAACAGTACGGCGGGCGAAAACAGATCAATGATTAGAAAAGGATTACCTATTTCACTGTTTGTGCAACTTATTCTACGAGTGTTAAATCGTTAGATCATTTGGTAATATGTATAATGAAGATTCAGAGACAATTCTTCTATAAACATAGATACAGAAAGATGAAGGTGACTTGTTTTATTAGTGAAAGGGGCGAGTTTTTGTCACACCAGGGCATAAATTTACATAGCCGCGGGGGAAACTGAGGATAATAAACTGTTTATTATTTCACATCGGGATGATTTAATTTGATCTGTGTGATTTAATTTGATCTGTAACGCCGCACTCAGCAATGTTCAAGCTATATGACGGCGGTCTGTAATTGATCTTTTCTGGACGAGACAATGCAGTTGTTAACATCATAAGTATGGATCTGAGCAATTGAGGGTAAGCAAATTAATCAAACCCTGGTTTAAGGAAACGCACTGGCCACTTCTTCGTTCACAGGCAACATCTACAGCGACGGCAGACTGGTCAGAGACTCGGGTGGCGTGCAGAATGTCCACTTCGGCGTCACTGCAGACGACTACATCTTCGTGGGGTATGTTGGAGCTATGACAATGGTGGGATTCGTCCAGTCAAGTACACTGTGGGCCAGTAGAAATTGTTGAAAGGTTCTTTCTAACACAGGGTTTTACCGAGACGCACAAATGTAGATAGGGACGCAGAAAACCCGCAATACCGCGTCCGCAGAGACGCAGAAAAATACCAAGAGAATACCTACAGCGATTCAAGAGTATAATAATAATAATAATGGATATTTTTAGCGCGCCATTTTCCACCCACTGATACATGCTCAAGGCGCTACATAAAAGCATACATACAATGCATACAGAGGATAAAATAGTAAAATAAGTATACATTGAAATTGATGACAGAAAGATTGATTTTAGGGATAGGCTTTGGAAAAAAAGAAAGTCTTCAACTTAATTTTGAAAGTTTCCAATGTGGGAGACTGCTTTATGTGGAGAGGGAGAGAATTCCACAGAGTAGGACCAGCGTACTGGAAAGACCTCTTGCCAAAGGAAGAAAGGAGAACCTTGGGAATCGAGAGAAGACATTGGTCTTGAGATCTGAGAGTTCTGGTAGGGGGGTACACAGTGAGAAGTTCAGAGAGATATGAAGGAGCTTGATTATGCAAACATTTATACACAATGCAAAGAAGTTTGAAATCAATCCGGAACTTGATTGGAATCCAGTGTAATGATGAGAGTACAGGGGTGATATGGTCTCGTTTAGTGGTAAGGGATATAATACGTGCTGCTGTATTTTGGACTTTTTGTAGTTTATTGGGATGTCCGTTGGTGAGTCCGTATAGACGGCTATTACAGTAATCCAATCTGGATGTTACAAGGCATGCAAGTATATGTGTGTGTTATTTCACCCATCAGTCATGACCACTGTCCACCTGACCACTGATTCATTCCAGGCTCTGGAGTAATTATCTGAACATACACTACATCATTTCAGTACAGGCCCCTCATATTACTAGCAAGGACCTGTAAAATGTATTGATGTCAGCATTTGTAAATCAAAGTTAAACCCATCTTGTGACTGACAAACCAATTTGAATGCGCCTAATCATAGTACTTATAATGATATAGAAAGAACTCCGAATATTTTTATAATCAGTTATGGCAATATGTGATGATAAAAATATCCTAAAAAATATATAGTCATTTTGACATTAGGTAACAGAATTGTGTTGCCTATTGAGAGATTCACACGCACGCGCGCACGCGCACACACACACACACACACACACACACACACGCGTTTGTAAAATAACTCAGTAAATAGATAAATATATTTGTAAATAACCTTTTTACCTTCTAAGAATTAGAGTTTTAAACTCATACATCACTGTCTATTCCATGCAATTGGCAAGCTGTATTGCACATTGCACGCATTTTGCATATTTGCATGCAATGGGCCGTTTCACATATTGGGTGTAAGCTACATGTCTACATAACGTCTCCGATGTTTCCCACCGCGTTAGCGGCGTATATGCTCAGACGTTTTGACAGGCATGCTTTGAAGATTTTACATGCGCTTTCCGACATAATGCGTAATTCGGACACGGTCGATCTGTTTCGTTATCAAGTTTATACATGCATTATTTGTATACCCACTTTTTGATGTAATAACAGGGGAAAATTTGTTCCTGATTTTGGGGCTTATTACAAACGATAAGAAATTATATTTTAATTGCCTATTCAATGAAAACATTTCCATTTGCGATTCTTCAACCGTATGTAGAAATATAACTTTGGAAATAAAAGATGATCAGCAGTTATAATTACGTTAGAATATGTTTCCAACAAGTTATCATCGTTGTTATTTAACACAGCTTAAAACGTCTTTTTTTTAAAAAAACAGGTATTCTCGAGTGCCTTGGGAATGTTTATTGGAATTAAAATGCAAAAGCGTTATCGTTCCTGTTTGCAACTGTTCAATTCGCCAATATGAAATAATTACAGAAGATCCGAGTTAGAATTGGTCTTCAGCAGCATCATGCTTGTCGTAAGAAACGGCTAACGGGAACGGGTGGTCAGGTTCTATGATTTGGTTGACACAAAATTGCGTACATCTATGCTCATGTTGTTGATCAATGGATTGTCTGGTCCAGACTCGATTATTTATAGACCGCCGCCATATAGCTGGAATGTTCTTTCGTACAGCGTTTAACGACAAACAAAGAAATCTCGGTCATGGCATATTATTGGTGGAGTCACCGAAAACACAGACGGCCCAGTTGTAACTATACACTTTGATAACCATTAGTAAAGGTAACTCTTAAAAGAAAATGGGGGTCGATTATATGATTCTCATGATATAGTGTACGATTATGTATACCAATCAAAAAAGCAGGGGATATTCCATTTGTGAGCATACCACTAGCCAATGCCAATGCATATGACAAAAAGTAATATATATCCATACAGATGAAACATTTCCAAAGGAATGAAATAAATTGTCATATTTAATTAATTGTCCCTTAATTTCTCTTCATCGTCTGTTTCATCCTTGGCTTCATCATTTGCATTTTATCAATCTTGTAAATCCAATATCCCCTACTTTTTTAATGGTATATATGGCCATGTCTCAGACAGTATTCTCTCAATGTGCAGGTACCTGTCAAAGCAGGATCTGGTCAGTCATCAGTTTACCCAGCTGGTAGGGGGCGCAGTTTGGCTCCTCAGAGACGGGGAGATACATATTGACGAGAGTGTCAAGACGGAATGCTCGCGGACAACGGAAATGGGCAAGTCTCCTGCCTTTGTTTTCTTATTTCAACCTTGTGTGAATAGCTGCATAATTGATGGCGAAGTCCTCTTACATACAAGGGCAATGGGGTAGCCAAATGGTTAAATCGTTCGCTCGTCACGCCGAAGACCCGGGTTCGATTCCCCACATGGGTACAATGTGTTAAGCCCATTTCTGGTGACCCCGCCGTGATATTGCGGGAATATTGCTGAAAAAGGGGCGTAAAACCAAACTCACTCAAACTCTTACATTCAGTATCAGTTACAAAGTCATCTTTATTTTATCTAAGGTGAGGTGAAATTGGGTTTTACGTCGTGCTTGAGAATATTTCGCACATATGACGACGTGCATGCGTGTGTATGTGTGGCTGCTTGTACTAGCCCAGACTTAAGCTTGTTTTATAGTGCTAGCCCACTGAGATACCATGCCGCAGTGAAGCATGAGTACCCCACTCAGACACATTATACTGACTCCGAGCCGACCAGTCCTTGTTGTACCCATTATTCTACCATGGATACGTGAAATGCTCGAATTTGATTGGTCAATCAATAACATCAGACGGTATCAATTTGGATTGAAAATGCGTCTGATTTCACGGCGCTTCACTGCGCACGTATACAACACTGCCGCACTACTTCAGCTTGGCCACCAACATGACTAATATCAACACAACAGAGCGACGTGATGGAAATGCTGATGAAACATTTATTAAAACTCGAAAAATACAATTATACGATTTCTCCTCCACAATTATTAGGGAACCTCACTATCATAATTCGCGACCGTCAAATATGACTTTGCCGCACCGGACCAAGTGTACAACCATGCTTGGCTGTCACAGCTGTTGACAGTCGTAATAGTTGGCTAATTTGGGGATGTTTGGATCGGAAATTTGTTATTCCTGCAAGGCTTATCGGCTCTTTACTGTCAACTGACAAGCACGAGACCAATCAAAAAGGTATGAAACGTTCTTTGTCACCGGAGGTACTAAGGTCTCGCGAAGTCCCGTGACCTACTTACGGGCCCTATTTTGTGGCAAGAGAGGTAAATCGAGAGATTCGTGACCATTTGCAGAATACACCCGATTAAATATAATCCCCTTACACAGAACAAACAAGTTAGACATATTTCTGCGGATAGAGAAGAACATTTCTTTAAAATATCCCCCGACAGAATTCATGGTCTCTACCTTTTTGGGTTCAGTATGTTTCATTAAAGCCAAAAATTATCATTTCGCTATTATCAATTTGTAAAGGAGGAAGCTAATAAATCATGTTTTTACTAATTCTGATTTTAGGACTGCGAGAGTTCGCTTCACTTCAAAAGGCTCGAATCGCAGTAGGTCATGACAAAGATGGTCGCATCCTCATCGCACATGTTGACGTGACGAAAGGAAATGTTGGGTAAGATCGGCAGTTATATTTTCACCTTACTTCAAATTCACAGCCTACATATATCATTTAATTTCTGTCAGTAGGATGCGTAATTTCATGAATAGTATGACACTGGAATAAAATCCCACATTTCCTCCCTTGACCTCTCCTCCCTTGACTTCTTCTCCCATGCCTCTCCTGCCATGACATATCCTCCCGGGACCTATGTTTCCGATACTGAATCATGTATCTGTTCTGAAGGACCCGAGAAGATCCGGGATAGAATAGGTCTACAGCAACCCATGTGCTTGCCATAAAAGGCGACTATGCTTGTCGTAAGAGGCGACTAACGGGATCGGGTGGTCAGTTTCGCTGACTTGGTTGACACATGTCATCGGTTCCCAATTGCGCAGATCGATGCTCATGCTGTTGATAACTGGATTGTCTGGTCCAGACTCGATTATTTACAGACCGCCGCCATATAGCTGGGATATTGCGGAGTGCGGCGTAAAACTAAACTCACTCACTCAATCTGTTCTGAAGAGACAGATACAGTATCACCTTAGATGGAGGTTTTATCTGGAAGAAAATAAGAGGTGACATGTACGGCCACGTTATCTTCTAAACAGTAATAGAGGAACACGACCTTAATCAACATTTTATGATATTACCTATTATCGAAGTAATTCCTTCCTTCCAGCCATTGATAATTTCACTTCAAAGATAAAAATATAAGGGCTTCACTCTAAGCAGTTCGTATTCGTAAATAGAAAAGGAGTTTATGTTTTTTTGTTTCGCAGAGTCGACGCGTACGAGATGGCATATATATTGCTTGACCTCGGCTTCGTGAATGCCATTAACCTTGACGGTGGAGGTTCCGCCACAACTGTCATCAACGGTACTCTCGTCAGTCACCCGTCTGATGAATGGTGAGCAGCTTTATCTTTTGTCGACATATACTGCAGCGGGGACAAAGCCTGTTCCACATATGTCCCGCTGGTCGTGCATTCTGACATGCATTGACTCATTTTGACTTTCTCAAAAATCTGTTCTTTTATACTGGCGAAGGATTTCACTACTACAAACCGAAACATGAGTTTCGTGAACCAATTCAGACAATGACCTACTTTTCAGCCGATCCGAATTTTCTCGTGTGAAAGTGAAAAGAGACACTACAAACAACTATGGTTACACGAAATTCCAATTCCTTGTTTCATAAGAAAATGGTATTTACAAATGAATTTTAATTTTAAACTTTTAAAAATCGCATTTCTATATTTTATGGCGAGGTTTAGGCAGCATGAGCTTAACTAAGACGTAGGAAACGAGACTGTTGTGTAATCAATGTCTTGATTTGATTACCTCTGGCTTCTTCGATCTTCAATGGCACACAGCAGAGTTCCGACATGAATGAGACCCATGATCGAAATGTTGAGACTTGTAAGTTGTGAGTGGATTGTGGACACACACATCCACTCCAATAAATTAACCTGCTTTGATTGAGCAAATGTTATGAGGTACGTATTCGTTTTAGTGGTGTTGTCCTCTTTCTTGAAGGTGAAACGTTTTACAGGCATAACACCTCTGAAGCCATGTCCTCCTCAGACACATCATGGAGACTATTGGTCTTTGTCATGTATGATGGCACTACAATTTCCAGTGTTCTATGCACAGACACAACAACCTCTATATTGGCAATTGTTTTGATAGGCAAAGGATTGCTGTCTCCACATACACTCCACCAGAAGGGAAACACTGCGGAGACGTGTGACATTCTTCACTTCCCCACAAACGCCAAAAGGGTCGCAAAAGGGTTTCTTTTAATGGGTAGACACTGTAGGAAATACATGCTATGACCGGATTTACGTATGTTTGCAGATATGTCCTTACTTCGGGCAAGCAGGTTGTCCAATTTAGGGATTCTTTCGACCAGCAATGGGGTGCTGAGGATCTAGTCTGACAGGGCCCATATAAGGAAAGAGCTATGAGCATTAACCAGCACTCACAAGGAGGTTGCTCTACACGTGTGCGCTAAACATGTATAAAATATTGGTCGAGGATTAAAGGCACAATGTCACATTATCGACAATATTTTGGCCTATATTATATATATTAGGGCAGGTGCACTCACTTTAGCTTCCTATTGATGCAATAAAAGACTTATTATCCCTTACGACTTGCCTGAAATCGATAGTTGAAACTTCGAGGCGAACAGCTTCCAAACAGAGAACACTTGCCATATATGGAATGTAAACAATTGCTCCGTATATCCAAAACTGTCGCACGCGGTGTTTGATGAACTGGTTTCAATCACAGGTTGTGCGTAAGATATTCGTAAAGAGTGCTCCAAGGAACATGACTCTATAGCGTTCACTTGAGCGAGTTTACAGTTTTACGCCGTACTCAGCAATATTGCAGCTATATGGCGGCGGTCTTTAAATTATCGAGTCTGGAACAGACATTCCAGTGATCAACAGCATGAGCATCGATCTACACAATTGGGAACCAATGACATGTGTCAACCAAGTCAGCGAGCCTGACCACCCGATTTCGTTAGTCGCCTCTTACGACACGCATGGGTTAGTGAAGATCAATTCTTACCCGGATCTTCACGGGTACGTTCGCTTTAAATTAAATGATAGCTTCCCTGAGCGCTGATAGTTGGTCTTATTGAGAGAAATGCATTATTTGTAACAGAAGTGTGGTGTGATAATAGTGCATTTAAAAACTATTACAGAGTAGTTGCCAAGCAGACATCTTCCAGGGAGATTAAATGCCCGATTCTAATATATAGACAGAGATGATATCATATTACTAATAATTAGCTGTGATAAGGATAAAGATCAGGTCATGATAAAATTTGAACCCACATTCATGAATTATGTGTAAAAGTGGATCTCTACGCCATATGTGACAACTTACTTCATTACGCCACTGACGTTGATGCTGCACACTAACGAGCTAATGCTGGTAACGTGATGCTACTAACCACACAAAGAAACTGTGCACACAGAAAAAAGAAATATAGGCACACAGCGCCTTTAACATAAATACAGATGTGAACACAGCAAGTACTGGAGACAATCAAAAGCTCATGCACGTGCCAGGCGACGTGTCGTCACTGATGGCGGCATATGGGCTTGCAATGTGTTACTGCACGTGCAGCCCGTGCAGCTGCACACAACATGTGAACCTCAGAAATTGCTGTCACTGTCGAAAGCATGATCTTTGGTCATTCAAACGTTCACAAATTCACATGAAAGGTCACATGCACATCATGCCAAGATTAACATCTGCTCAACGTCATGACGCCCTTGGAATGGTTCGAGCAGAACCAGGTGGCAGCACATTTCCAATGCCATCGTAACACGATGTCTGCGTTTGTCAGGCGTTATCGAAACACTAATGACGTCGCCGACCACCCACCTTCTGGGCGTCCCTGAGTAACGACGACAAGACAGAACAGATGGATTCGGGTAACTCATCTCCGACACAGGTTCCGAACGGCAGTGACCACGTCCCAGACCATTTCAGGACTTATCTGTATTCACCCCAACACTGTCAGGAATCGTTTACGTCAGTATGGACGGCGACCACGGCGCCCTGCCATACGACCCTTTCTGACAACATCATCGAGACAACCGTCAAAGATGGTGTCACAATCATGTTCGCCAACCTCGAATAAAGTGGAGGAATGTTGTGTGTTACAGATGAATCGAAGTTCAACATTTTCCATAGTGACGGGAGTCAACGTGTCTACCGGCATTTAGAGGAACGTTATGCACGCAGCTGTATCGTGGAGAGGAATCGTTTTGGAGGTGGCTCTATCATGATTTGGGGTGGAATAACAGCACGCCACAGAACCCCTCTAGTGATTGTTCAGGGCAATTTCACCGATGTTGGCTACAGGGATCAGATTCTGAGGCCTGTGGCAGTTCCTGTTCTGCAACGTCATGGACAAGAATTTACATCAAGACAACACTCGTCCTTACACGGCTGGGGTTGCAGTGGATTTTCTCTATCAGAACAATGTCATGTTAGTGCCCTGGCCTGCAAATTCACCGCATCTCTCCCCAATAGAGCACGTGTGGGATGAAATGCAGCGCCGTCTACGCCGTCTTCCACATCCTCCAGATAACGTTCGTGACTTGCATTGTTGGCACGAGATTTGGAAGGGATATGGCAAGTTATTCCCCAGGCCTTCCATGCTCATTTGGTAGCCTCTATGCGTCGTCGAGGCACTGCTGTGCTTCACGAACATGGTGTTCATACCAGTTATTGACTTTGTGACTTCGTCGTGTGACAACCTACTCGATTTTGAACTTCTGACGTCATCGTTACGGATATTGTTTATGTTCTTTTGACATTTTGTTGTGGTCCGATACTTCAGCTTATAAAGTGTCTACATCATTTCATCTTTGCTGTGTTGTATTCCAATTCTGAATGAATTTTCTGTGTGCAGTTTCTTTATGTGGCTAGTATATTACCGAACCATTGAAATATGTAGCTGTAAATTTCTATCAATGACATTGTGGTAATTATCCAATATTATCCAATTATGACCGAGCATTTAGGAGAGTATGAAATATAGGATAAATCTAAACCTGGTCATACACGATTTCAATTGTATTTAAACATTTACAATAATTATACAAGACGTTATAAATATACTCCCCAAACAAAGAAACGCAAATCAAGATTTTGGTTACAGTTTTGAGAAAGTGTAATCCCAAATATAACATATATATACTACAAACAAAAAGTAAGAGAACACTCTAAAATTGATGGTCATATATAGACTTAAATGTGGTGTGGTCATTTATACTCTAAGGTAAATGTAACTGTTTGTGTGCCTAATGGGCACTTTAAACGACATGTTGGAACATGCAGTGAAGCAAGTGATTCAATATTCTTTGGGTTAGAGTGAAACGAAACATTGTCAAAAACAGCGAAAAACAAGGGTTTTGAAAGACACCAGCACCATGTTTGATTGAAACCCCCAAACATAACAGCCTAGTGCATGTGGAACACAAACTTCTCATGCAGCTTGTGGCAACTGGACACTGGCAGTTGTGAATCGGTTCCGAAGGGCTTGGAGCACAACATATCGGTCATCTCCCCTTAATGTTTTTCTGGGTCTTCAAGAGCGAGGTCTGTCCTGTACTCTACCAGTGGCCTGGAACCTGTCCCTCAGTCTGTGAAGGACACAGGGAGACACCTGAAGTCGATGAGCAACACTTCTTATAGATTCACCATCCTGTAACCATGTAATGGTCCTACTTCTGTTGCGGGCGCTAACGGTCTGTGAAGTGGCATGGTGAAGAAGTTGTTAGGCTTCAATACTGTCTGTAGCTTCTTTTAAAGGGAACGTTGCCACAAGCTGCATGGGTAGTCTTCCACGTGCACTAGGGGTTTGGGGGTTTGAATCAAACATGGTGCTGGTGTGTTTCAAAACCCTTGTTTTTCGCTGTTTTTGACAATGTTTCATTTCCCTCAAACTCACCAAATATTGAATCACTTGCTTCACTGCATGTTCCAACATGTCGTTTAAAGTGCCCAGTAGGCACACAAAAAGTTGCATTTACCTTAGAGTATAAATGACCTCACCACCTTTAAGTTTATATATGACCATCAATTTTTAGGGTATTCCCATACTTTTTGTTTGTATTATATTTTAATATTTAGAGACATTTAATTTGAAAAAGAAAAATGCGACAATTTTACATGAAGGATCATACAGTGGTCAAGGTCACAACATGGGTGCAAGTGTCACAATTCCCAGGTCAAGGTCATCAGCGTCTCGTTTGGCCACCATTGGCATCCAGAACAGCCTGGCATCTCCTTCCCATGGAATCAATTGCATCAAGGGTCTGAATGACACGTTGGGAAATGGTAGCTTACTCTGCCTGACGTGTCTGCGGTTGTGGTT